ACCATGCCTTCTGGAACAGCCATACCATGGCAAACTCCACGTACCCTTACTCCACCTTCAACATGGCTTTCTTGGGAATGCTTCCCTGAGGTCCTTTCATTCTCAGAGTGAGAGATGTCATTGTCTCCCTGAGTTTAGCAGGTGAGTATGTGCAGTCCTGGAGGGGAAGGAGTAATTGTGAACAATAGTAACACACACACAGTACAGTACATGTCACTTGGAAAAACTGTTTGTCATCTTTCTCTCCCAACTGCTTCTTCCAATTAGTTCAATTTTTATCTAAGACTATATGATACAGATTTCTTAATTCAATCCGACTTATCATTATTCTAGTGCAGTCTCAGATCTTACCACTCCATTCCCCCATATTCATTGTAGAAATGAAGCTAAATCAACATATAGTTTTTCAAACACATCAAGACAACTTAAGAAACATCTCCTACAAGGAGGAAGAACATCCTTGCCTTCCACCCTCATTTAAATACCTATCCTCTGTAAGGACCCCATTTACTTCTCTCTGAGAACACACATGGTCTCAGTAGTAAGTGGTTTGCTTGTTTCCTCCATTGAGTGAAATCTCCAAGAGGACACAGATCATGTCTTTTTGAAACCCATGTCTCTCTGACCCCAGAATCTGAGCTCTTCCCCAGAACATGTACCGTCTTCTAATATACTCATATGGCCCGCACAACACAGGGTCTATAAAGTATTTTAAAAGAAAGAGTATGCATACCATTTCAAGCTAGAAGAAAACTTATGTCATTAAACTCCTTTTTCATTGTATAGACAAGCACAGAGACAGTGGCTTATCCACAATGCCCCAAGAAGTTAGTGGCATATCTGTCCCAGACAGAATCTCCTCTACTGAGAGATTCAAGACTTTAGAATTTGACATCTAATCTCCAAGATGAATATAATAAGCACACAAATAATTATAATACAAGGTATTATATGAGCAACAGAAAATTCAAAAGCAGATGGAGAACTTAACACCTTTAGGCTGTGGTGGGTTATGAGTAGGGAGGGTAGTCAGGACAGTGCACATCAGTTCTCAACCTTTTTGATCTCAGAACCTCTTTACACTCTTAAAAATTATTGTGAAACCCAAATAGCTTGGGTTTTCTTTGGTGTGGTTTTATCTATTTGATATTATATTAGAAATTAAAACTGAGAACATTAAAAACTATTAACTTAAAAAA